GCTATCTACTATTCTTAAACTTACCAACAACTATGCTCTTTCCTTTGAAAGGCATAAAACATTTCTCCAAAGAGCAGAAATGTGTTTATACAAAGAACCTATCAGTTTAATCGACACACTGTTTTTACGTCCTACTAAGCACAAAATAGGAAAGAACACTTGTGACTATAAAAGCTACTAAACTCTCCACTTAAAAGAAAAATCCACACTACCTTTCAACTGACAGTCAATAGTTCCCACAGTACTATCAGCATAGCAAAGCTGTTACAAACACTGGCTCTAGATTCAAGACTGCCTGAGTTTTAAGCCTGCAGCACTAACTGCTTACTCTGGACAAATTACTTAAGCTTTCTGCATCCTAGTTTCCTCAATGATAAAATGAAGCTCGAAATAGCTACCTCACAGATTCACTGCGAGGAATGACTGAGATAATACATGAGAAGTTTTAAGATCAGGGACTGTAAACTAAAGGTACTTCATTGAAGTATCAGAAACTTTCTTACAGCTATCAGTCCCATCAAAACACAAAATCTCTATCTTGCATAATCTATGACTGAAAATAACACTATCACACCTATGCCAACCAATCTTATCACCAGCAGAATACCTGCACCCAGAACACACTAAACCAGCTCATACATATGCAAGAGGCATTTTTAGTAAAATAAACAATGAACATAGCTTTAAAAGGTCTTATATTAATAAAGCATTCCTGAAACAAAAATCTCAAATAATTACAAAGTGCCCTACATCTTTATCAAGGATAAAACCTTGAATCATTTCTTCTTTCATGAAATTATGTGTAAATACTCAACTTTTTAAACAATTGGAATGACTTAAACCACAATCATTACTACATGTATATTAAGTAGGTTGCAAGCATTGGACAAGTAAGTAAAGCATACCTATACAAACCACAGAATTACCTATAGGAAAAAAATAATAAGGAATTTTATTACATTTTTAAGTACATTTCATCATAAACACATTTAAGTAGTTTCTATGATAAATGTCCTTAGTGCTTATTCTGTGCAAGACAGTTACACATAAGCTGACCTCAAGGAAACATTTCAAATCACCCTCATTATATAGCCACATAAAAACATAAAATTATTAGATGTGGATTATGAATGAGGATCTGTGTATGACCTGTTTTCTCAAGGTTAAAGGTGTTGATCCAAGTCCTGGGCTGGAAATGTCATCATATATACTTCTAACTGGTGGAGCTCCACTTTTATCTTTATGAGCTGGTACAACTGGTTGTGGGGGTGATCCACCTACAATGTACAAAAAGTTTAGACAGGTGAAAAAACAAAGAAATCTTCCATCTTTCTAGTAAGGTTTTTTTAATAAAATTTTTTTTAAATACTGATTTAAACTCCTGTCTCCTAGTGCTTCTCAAACTTTAACATACATGAGGGTCACCTGGAGATCTTACTCAAGTTCAGATTCTGATTTAGAATATGTGGAGTAAAGTCTGAGACTAAGAACTTCTGACAAGCTCCCAGTGATGCCAATGCTGGCAATCCATAGACTGCACCTTGAATAAAAGGTTCCAGACTAAGAAAATAAAAAAATTTTAGTTTTTAGTAAACACATGTAACTTTTACCTTCTGTATAAAATGCTTAACATTCCAATACAAGACCTAATCCTATTTCTTACTTGCAAGTAGCTAATAAACAGCTCCAGTTTGTATACATTTAAATAGATATAATCCCCAAATGGACCTATCAAAATTAAACAGATCCCATTCATGGTTCTCACAGTAGAAATATACTTAAAATACATAATACATATGTAGGAAAAGGACCAACTCTGGGGGACATGAAGATGTCTCTAAAAGCCAGAAAAATCAGCAATGCCAAATAGTGAAACAGCCCAGGCCCTCTGTAAGACTAATGTCTGAGTCTAGAGAGTACTCCATAAGCTATTTAGAGCATAGACTTTAGAATTAGACTGACCTAGACTTTAACTTCTTGCTCTGTCACTTATTAACAAGTGGGCATCAGCAAGTTCTCTACTTAGACTCAGTCTTCTCTTTTGAAAAGCAGGATACTACCTACTCTTTAAGATTGATGAAGGAATGAAAATAACGTAAAATGCTTAGCATATTGCCTGGCTCATAAGTACTCTTTATGTGGTAGCTACAATAATAAAATAATACATTTGAAATACATAAAAAACAAAAGTCTATCCAGAATAATGTTCTTACATCAATTACTTCAAACATAATTTATGATAATTCTCCCTTAACAATCCTTAAAAAAAAGATAATAAACACGTCAGACCTTAAGGACAATAAAAGAAGTCTCCATTTAAACATCTATTAAAAGGATATTAGCTTTTGGAATCAATCATTTTTTGTAGCTAATTCTCACTACTCATAGTCAAAACAAGTTATCTTTTAAAATACTTCTTTGCTAAAAGACTTCTCTTAAAAAGATACATGTTGCATTTAGGTAACAATATTTTGTGCTAACTGCAAATTCTTTTAAAAAACTTCACCACAGTTTGAGGAGTAAATCTTTTCACTAAACACACTACAGTTGTGAATTTTACTTCATTGTGACTAGAAGTAGAATTTACATCTACAAATTCTAAATCACACTTATTCTGACTGAATATTTACTGTTATATTATTTATTTAAGATGAATTACTTAAGTTGAATTCAAACAACCATATTTCTTCTTTCCCACACATTTTAACATCTCAGAAACAGGGATAATTTACAAAAAACAGCATATGAGCAATTGTTATCATATTTAGTGTTTTTCGTAATGGTACTTAAAATAATGATGAGTTTTACAATCAATGGCATCTTAAATTGGATGAAATGTAGTACACACTTTTTTAATGGGTGGTTCCTAGAATTATAGTAACCTATACTGCTTACATCTCTACTCCAAGAGTCTTAAAAATAGAGGCATTGCTTTATTTTTTTTAATTAATAAACGTGTTGATGAGATTGAATACTGCACCATTACTCTTTTTAAAATTCTAGAACATGTAATGATAGTACTGTGAAACTATTTTAAACAATTTACCTACCTGCAAGTAAAGGGGATCTCATTTCCATTACTCCTACTGAAGGGCCACTAATTGATCTAGGTTGTGGTGTCACTGGAGCTGGCAAGTCCCCCATTAAAAATCCTGGTAAGAACTGAGCATTAATCCCTGGCTTTGGAGATGTGGGTGAACCCAGCATCATTGGTTCAGATCCTAAATGAATCAAATAGTAAAATAAAACAAAGTAAGGACTTTCATGTTACAATATCCAACAAAAAAATGCAAGATTCTAACATAAATAATTTTGAGAAATTAATAAAAACTTTTAGTTATAAAACCATAGTTGAGTTTATTTTAAAAACAGATAAAATTCTTTCCAGAGAAATGTAAAAGTATTTTGTATTAACAATACTAACCTCTGACAGCTATTTTTATTTATATTATTTCACAGGTTTAAGAATTAACATTTACTTTTAAATGAAAAAATGTTAAGTTTATTATCTTAAAAAGAATTCCTAACACATACAGAATAACTTCTTTCCACTTCTGGGTCAGCTTCTACTATGCAACAACCACAAACAAGGACAGGGTGCACTAGTTACTTAATACAAAGTCTTAGCAAAACCCAACACAATGGACTTAGCTTGCTGTATATTTCATTTTTTTCTTCCCCATACACAAATACTGTAAATCATTAACATAAAACCAAACTAAAGAGAACTGATACTTCACACTCATCAATTCAAAATTAATCTTCACAATTTACAGAGTGGGTATTATTATTCCCATTATAAAGATAGGGAAGTTATAACATTAACTTCAGAGCAAAATAGCACTATAAAGAAAACATGGGTTCTGGAGTCAGACACCTGGGTTCAAATCTCTCAGCAAAATAGACGTAAGGTAGCACCCACTCAGAGTTTTGATTAGAATTAGCAAATAAAGCAGTTGACCCCATGCCTAATATACAGTGAGTGTTCAATATGAGTTATTGTTATTATTCTAACAGTATCTTATAACAGCAAAAGCTGAGTGACTAACATGTTATTGTAGAATTTGTGACTTCTACTTATGAAAATTTAATCGTTCAACTACATGATGAGCCTGAATGTGTTTCCTGGCACTCAGATCAAATGTTTGGTATGTTATTTATATGATCTTTATTAACTGTTCCTTAACTTCTAAGGGTCCTCAAAAATGTTTTCTTGCTATCCAAATGCTGTTAATTCTTTATTCTTCCTTTTCTCATTATAGTAGACCTAGATATTAACAATGCAAGTTTATAAAAGAGGGAAAAAAAGTATTTCAGGAAAAGAATAAGGTAAATACTGAAATACGCTGTGAGAAACTATAATTACATTGTCATTAGTTAACAGTGCTAGTTACTATGTTAATATAATACTATTATATATTTCCAAAGAACATACACACCAAAAGTCTAAAAAGCACACTCTGAACAGATATTCAGAAACCAACAGTAATAAACACAAAAGTTTTGGGTACCAACTACCTTCAGTCTTCCATCCCCAAAAGAAAACATATATATGGCAAGCATTAAGAATTAAGAAAGATTCTGACATATCTGGACATTTTTGTGATACAGTGGAAAGCACAAGCAGGAGAGCACGAAGAATTCTTAATCTGTTAGTAACGACCTCTCAGGCTAAATTTCATTTAAAGAGAGAGCAATACTAATGGATCCTTTAAGTCTTAAATTCCACTTCACACTGTGTACTCCTAAAATGATAAAAAAAAAAAAAAAACTGTCTTACTCGGCTAGCACTGTTTGTGGAAGTATCCTTAGTTTTAATATACCATTAGGTGCTGGGAAATTGTTTATTCCATGCCTGGAATAACTCCAACATGTGGACTAGAAGATTAATAACAGCTAATGTCAGATTTCTGCTCAGACAATAAATAGGAAGGGTTTGTTCATTCACATTTGTGACCCCAAGATATAAACACACCGAAATGTTTTTGTTAAGCAGAAAACTTTGGAACTAGAAACGAACAACTTTCTAACCTAAAATAATACAAATCAAATACCAGACCAGCAACTGTAAGTAAGTTTAAACGGAGCAGGTATGCGCACTGACATTATACACTTAGTTTTTTATGACTAAAACAGTTCGAGTTACTCTATATTATATATTATCTATATTATAAACTTATTTTCCACCAAACATGACAAACAGCATACACTCTTCAAGTCTTAAAAAACATTCTACACATACATATCGCTGTTGCTCTTTTTCAAACTCAGTTAAGTAACCTCATTTTCAAGTACGTCTCTATGATAGTTTATTTTCTGCTCCAAAATTTTCGACGGTTCTCACAAGTCCACACTCAGCAGAAAAAAAACAGAAATCGACATCCTGTTAACATGGTAGTTTTTTTCAACAAACATAACTCAGCAAAGCTCCCCGCTGAATAATAGTATTACGTGACTTATTAGAGTAAAAAAACTCCTACAATACTTAGTCACTTCCCCAAGATAAAGGCGGGTTCCCAAATGGTGCGAACTCCTCCCTTCTTATTAAGGCCAATTTCTCAACACCGCCCTTTTAATTAAATGTCTCACGATCAAGCTTCCATTAATCGCATTCCTTCTGCAAAGCCTGGGCGAAGAAAGGGAATCAAACAGGAGTATAAGTCTAGATGACCAAAAAGCAGCGGACTGTAGTCACACTGCAGGGCCCCACCCACCACGTGCAGGCAACTCAGTTCCTGCACACCAGCGCTCCCCGCAGCTGGGAGCCCAGGGTCGCTGCCCGGGCTCAGGTGTGGGCAGGTGTGTCCGGGCCCGCGTCTGTGGGCCCAAACGGCACAGCCGTTTCCTCACCCTCTTCAGGATGGGCCGCTTCCAGGAGCAGCCCTGGTGGCTGCACGGTGGCAACGCCTGGAGCAAGGAGCCGACTAGGAACTTGGGGGCGAACCGGGGGCTCCTCTGCGACTGAAGCTAGCAGACAACAGCTTGATGCCTTCAGCCTTGCCGGCTTCCAGGCCTACAGCGTGGGCTGCAGTGACAGCCAGGACAAGCAGTTTTTCACTCACCCAGCGCGGCCGCCTGAGGTTCCACCGCAAAGGCTGCCATCCCAGCGGCAACTTCACTTGGCCCCGAGCTTTCCCGATTTTCAAATATGGCGGAAACTCCCCACGGGTAGGAGCGCGCTACCTGACGAGGTTTCGTAACTTCCGGACACGCGCTGTACTTAAGTTGTAGGCGCGAGAGCTATCATTTTGGAATAGGGCAAACGTCTCTGCGCAGACTCAGTGTTTTTGAGAAGGATTTCGCGGGAAAGGTGTTAAACTAAGGTGGAAACTTTCGGTTCTGGGAATCCTTTTGCTCACACTGTGATTTACTCTGGATTTGGTGCCCTTGATTTGCTTTGATTTTGGTGCTTGAGGCTTATAGAAGCGAAAGTTCTTTTAGGTTTCATAATTACCGTGAGTTTACCCCGTCTTGTGTCATCTGTCAACTTTTCCAAGTAACATCTGGAAAGGTTAGCTTGATTGAGTAGTTGATGCTTTGATTCCGATGTCAACCGCAGGCTTAGTGTATGCAGCTCCATTCTCAAAGTATATTTTCCACCATTTTAATGACTTTTTAAAAAATGTGTTTCGTAGACACAATTTTACATTAAAATGAAAATAAAACAGTTATTTTACTAGCAAAAGTAGGTTTATTCAGGAATACCACAGAATTGCAAGCCAGTACCTGCAGACTATGGCAAAACCACAGGCAAGTCCAAAAAATAAAGAAGGAGGATGTGATAGGGGTTGTTTTAAACAAAAGTCCATTAGAGAAAAGCAGAAGTTCAGGGTGATGAGTGTTTCTCATTAGCTGAGTTGCAGGAGTGGTCAATTTCTTGTAGACGATGCAATTGACATCTTTCCCTGTTGGAGTTTCTAGCTGATGATTATTCCCAGTTGAGGATTCTCCTGTTGGGGTCTACATTTAACAATACTTCTGTAACTGAGGAAGAGCAGTACCAGCTGAAGTTTCTAACCTCCTGACTCTACTTAACTGAGGCTTCCCTTTATTTTCACAAAGGCATAACATATACTTGCTGTTTTATTACATATTAATATATACAAAACATATTAAGTAATGGAGGCTAGTAATGAACACCCATAACCCCACTGCACTGACGGATCCTGTGTGCTCCTCCCTTTTATCCATGCCATCCACCTCTCATTTTGCAGCTGCTCTCTAGAGCATATTCAAACATGGATCTCACACACATTCTATATATGCATATGCAAAAAATACAGTTGTGCTCACTTACTAACTTTATAAAAGTGATGTGCTACATGTATATATCCTGGGATGGTCTCTGGTCCATAATAAACCCATTATCCTCAAAATACCCACCCATTCTCTGAGATTTCTTAAAATTCCAAATCCAGCAAGAATTTTGTACTTTGTGCAACAATAATTCCAGAACTAAGTACCAAGTTCCCAGAAATCAAATTTTAAAATCAATTGACTTTTTTTTTAATAGGTGTGTGGGTTAAATTGTGTCCCCCAAAAAAGATACGTTCAAGACCTAATCTCCAGTACATGTGAATGTGACCTTATTTTGAAAAAAGATCTCTGCAGATGTAATCAAGATCAAATGAGGTCATACTGTATTACCACAAACTTGGCAGGTTAAAACAACACAAATTTTTTTGTTACAGTTCTAGAATCCAGAAATCTGAAATGAGTGTTATGGGGCTAAAATCAAGGTGTAAGCAGGACTGGTTTCTTCTGGAGGCTCCAGGGAATAATCTATTTCCTTGCCTTTTCTAGCTAACTATAATCCTTAACTTCTGGCCCTTTGCTCCCCCTTCAAAGCCAGTGGCATAGCATCTTCTCTCTCTCTGGCACTGCTTCTTTCTAAACTCTCCCTCTCCTTCTTTTTTTAATTTTTTTTTCATTTTGGTATCATTAATATACAATCACATGAGCAGCATTGTGGTTACTAGATTCCCCCCATTATCAAGTCCCCACCTCCCTCTGCTTCTTATACCAACATTTGTGATTATATTTAGGGTCCACTTAGGATACTTATCCACTCAGAATAATCTTCCCATTTCAATATCCAGTTGTGATTAAGTTAATAATCATATCTGCAAAGTGCCTTTTTCCAAATAAGGTAACATTCATTAATTCCAGAAATTAGAGTGTGGATATCTTTGGTGGCTATCACTCAGCCCATCATATCCAGCAAACCCCTTTTTAGAACTATGGTACCAAGATGGGTTCATTAGTGAGGAAATGTCTATGAAAATTATGGCCTAGTCAAACAAGAGAACATTATGCACTTGTTAGAAAGACTAAGGTAGATTTGATATATGAGTGGAGCATGAAACCCAGAAAAATCTTCAGGATTCATACAGTGAAAGAGGCAATTTGAAAACATATATATGACATAATTTTAATTTTTAAAAAGTATATTTGGGTAAATATTCAAAGAGGTTGGGGAAAATGCTTACTTAAAGTAAGAAATTGGAAAACATTTGTGTCAACAGACAATATGGGGTGGGAGAGGGATTTGTAAATTGGAAGGCTTCAGGGCCTGTAACTTACTTTATATAACTTTTTAGTGGTTGATTATATGTGCTTTACTATTTTTATTATTCTGCAAATTTTAAACATTTTTTCCCTTAAGAAAGAAAGTCATTTTCCTTTCTTCGTTTGTATCTCAATCATCTACCCTTCAACTGGCTCGTTCCTTATGAAGTTCTAAACATGCCTAGTGTGCCCTAACAAAAACCTTCCCTGGAGCTTTCTCCTTGTTCTAGCTACCATGCACTAATTTTGCACACATTCTCTTTCTTCAAGATCTGAAAAGAAGGACTTTAGAAGATGTTCATCAATTGTCACATCTATGCAAACATTTTCCAAGACTGTATTAGATTTCTCTCTAAAGCCAAATGCTAATTTTCCATTTGCTTACTGGACAACCTACCGGTACATCAAACCTTAACAACAAACTCCTCTTACCCCTAAAGCCAGCCCTGTTCCATTTGTCCCTTTTTCCATAAGTCTCTTAGAAACCCAAAACTAAAATCACAATGTATTAGAGCAGAATTTTAAGTCCTGAATTCAGAGCCCAACTTTCCCACTTAAATCCTATATTACTTGTATTTGTATTAAGTATTTCTAGATTTTATTTTCAGTAAAATAGAAACAATACCTACTTTGAAAGGTGGCTACACTTAGTACAGTGTCTCATCTAATTTGCTATTACTGGCTCCTACCTTCCCTGTCATCAAACATTCAGATATATCAAGTCCTATTTTTTCTGCCTCCTCAATTCTTAGATAATTAACATCTCCCTGCCTTCAGTCTCTCCCACCAAATGTAATACACCATTAGCCAATACTCCTTTTTTGTACACATTACCCAGCTGTCCAAAAACTTTTACTGACTTCCTATTCCCTTATAGCAGCCTCCTTTTCTTCAGCTCCACAAGATTCACATGCATAGTACATGTCAACCAACAATGTCCTCATTACATGACATACACGGGGAGAAAGTGAAGAGGAAAATCAGAATCTCAGGGTGGAAGCTGCCATAAACAGAAAGTTTGCGCCCCTCAAATTTCACATATTTAGATATGTGTGTCCCTCAAAGTTCATATATTGACATCCTGATCCCCAATATGATGGTATTTGGAGATAGGGCCTTTGGGAAATTATTAGGTCATGAGGGTGGAGCCTTCATAAATGAGATTACTTCCTTTATAAAAGAGACCCCAGAGAGCTCTCCTCACCCACAACAGCACCACATCAGCAATTTGAGGATACAGAGACAAGACTGCCGTCAGAGTAGGCTCTCACCAGACACCAGATCTGCTGGTGCTTGACCTCAGACTTCCCAGCCTCCAAACTGTGAGGAATGAATTTCTGTTGTTTATAAGTCACCCAGCCTATGGTGTTTTGTTGTAACAAACCGAATAGACAGAGAGAGGTGGGTGGGTAGAGATTGCAGTAGGCACCACTAAAGGACATACACATTGTCACCCTAACCTTCTGCTCCAATCAGTTTCCCCATTATTCCCCTTTGCAAACCTTCAGCCTCTTATGAAAGATCTCCACACTGTATTCTTTGATCACAGCAATCCCTCTGCCTAACATCTCTTTAGTTTCCACTCCAATTTACAAAGCCCTGTCCTTCTTACAAGTAGCAGCTCAAGATTTTCTGCCACCATGAAACTTGCCCCTGCTAAGCCAGCCCTCATTCATCATTCCATTTCAGAATATTCACTGCATTATTTATGCAACTCATTTGCTATGATACTTGTTTTGTAAGTTTTCAGTCCCAACTAGATGGATTTTTTTGAGGACAGGGACCATACTTCTTCTTTTCTGTATTTCTAATACTTTCAATAAATAAATTTTGAAAAAGTAAATGAATGGATGAATTAATAAGAAGCTCTAAATAAATAAATACTGAATAAAGGGTAATCATTCAACATTTGATGCAACTGTCCATATTTCCAGATTTGATGCAATTTTTATGCAATTTTATAAGTTTTCAGATCTTTAAATCATAATTTCACTCATTAATTTTATTAGAAGTGCTTATTATTTATGTTACAAAATTAAGAAATGTTTGTAGTTCCAATTACTGATATTTTTTAATAAAATTATATTATCATAATGAATTATATCAAATGAGAAACTTGTAGGGCATGATTTTACTTTTTTATATTTCTTGTTAAACTATAATCTTTAGAAATATTACATGTTCACCATGTTCTCCTGTACATAAATGTAGTTATCTTAGAGTACTTACTTTCCTTTCTTTTCTGAACATATTAAATAAAATGTCACCTAAAGTGGAACACTTATTGCGTATTTCTATTCCACATTCATGGTTCCTTGAAGAGTGTCTTCTGATGACATAAGATTTAATCAAAGTGATATATTTTTTGCACTCTGCTGATATTCAAACTTAAATGAGGAACTGTTTCTTTAAACAAAGTATTGTGCACATACTACATACAATAGAACTGCTCTGGTTGGACAAAGAAACAAAAAACCAACTCCAGGTTTCTTGCCCCCTAAACTGTTGACTATCACACTTCTAGGTGACCCCAAAACACTTGGGTGGGGTACCTGGGGATACAGAGAGTCCAATCTGAAAATAAGCTCTGGGCCATACATATTTCA